AGAGAGAAAAATGTATGTTCCTGAACAGCAGGCTAGTGATGTGAGGCAGTTGTGGCAAGCAAGTAGGGCATATGCCCCATTCGCATGGTCACTGATGTAGATTAAAACCATGTAATTCTTGAAAAGCTGGCTGAGTGCTCACATCCAGCACATCTCATGCTTTGGCTGACACAGCAGGCAGTCTGACTCCAGAAAGCTCTGTAGTATTCACCGGGCAGAGCTGGAAGGCTGTGTACATACTAGAGCCTACAAATGCCTCCACATTTAGCTGGCATGCCAAGAAAGAAGAAAGTAGTACAAAAGGAATAACTAAGTTAGAGATAGAAATAAAAATAGACTAGTTATCTGAGGAGACCACAAGTTGCTTTGCAGGTCATGACTTGAGAGGAACAGAGGCACGTGCCTTCCTGCATGGTGGATGTGTGTGATGCACAGGGAGTGGTGGTGGCAGTAAAGTAGGACAGACGCTTTTGGGATTAAAGTCTCCAGTTTAGTCATACCCATAATATGAATGATTTTATATACTGTCAGTCAAAGGGCATCCCTTTAACAGACACTATATAGCAGGAAGAACATGTTATATTGAGAATGTGAAGCTCTGAAATGTACAATTAAAAATATCCCTGTCTTTACAGTTCAGATAGCACAAGTTTACATACATGATGGATTTTTTTTTTATTTATTTTCTCATTACCCTCAGTGTTATTAAATAATTAACGTAAAGGAATGAGAATAACCTAAATAATGCATTATTGCTACTACATAGAAATTCTGGCAGACAAAAGCTAGTGATGCAATATGGACTTTAAATATTGACTAGTTCATAAAATCTGTATATTAAAAAACTGACAGATCCACGATTTAATATTATAATTTACAGAAATGTTTGGAGACAGAGAAACTTTATATCAGTAAGAACACTGTCTGAAAATCCCAATAGTTCTCCAACGAATTGAGTTTATTCTAGATAATGGGGGGTTTTTTTTGTATGTTCCCTCTTTTAGAAGACAAAATTAATACCTTTGGCTGATCTTTGTTGTTGCAAATTTTTAAGACAGAGTAGTTATCCTAAAATAAACAGGACCACAAATTTAATTTCTACTTTATATTTTGTCATATACACAACAATTCATCACAAGTCAGATAGCCTGTTATATCTGAGCAATGTATTTTCGTGTCAGTATCAGTAAAGATGTGTAGAGAGATCTAGCACCTGTTATTTTAAAACACGATGGACAGGTATACATCAAATATAGCTAATTTAATTTCAAAAAGTAAAAGAAGACTTTATTGGTAACTGGAATTAGTGGAATATGTTCTGTCCTTATGGTCATGCTGATAGTAATGGATTCCAGAGTAGGATGACCTTAAAAAGGTGAAGGGGTGTTTTAAATTGGACCCATACCCATTGTTTCCTGCTGCAGTTAGATGTTATACACATTCATCTTGAAATGTCAGCTTTAAAATTATGGAGATTTACACAGTATGTGTATATGTATACTTTTATATTTATAGCTAAGACTATCCAGTCAACATCAAATAGTTTCAGGCACTGACTGAAATTTATACTGATTGTCTTTGCAGCTCAATATGCTTAAGCTCCATCAGCACTTTGGGAAGCAAACCTGTAAAGCACTTATGCCTGTTCAACTTGTCATATGTAATTACAGCATATTATATTAGCATTATATTATTTTCTTAAAAATGTTCAGTCTAATTACAGTTGAACTGTTATTTTGACTTTATCTAATGGTGTGTTTGTTAATTTAATTTACAAGAACAGTTTCCATTCCATTACTCTCAAATGCTTAAAAGAGAAATGAGATTAATTCAAGTAAAAAAAAAAATTCTAGAATTTTACACCTTCTGCTATTTTCTGCTACGTCAGTGCAAGATCTCTTTTGTGAAAGAAGAGGTACCCATTCCCTTCCCACACTCTGCAATCACACATTTACATTTCTGAAATTAGCATCTATCTTCTTCTGTTTGGCACCTGTGAAATAGATTGCATCTTTCATCATGAGTTCATCTCACTACAGATAATTGTCCATTCCCAAAAGCTACCAATATATCAATCTCAAAAACAGCATGCTTGTTCTTTTTTTTTAAATGTAAATTAGCTATGTCTAAGGCATTAATGACACTGACCATATCTCACAATAACATTATCTTTTATTAGAGATCTTATTTTACATATCCCCATAAGATATAAAACCTTCCAAGAGTAAATATCAAAAACCTTCAGTTGAAATCAGTTTGTTTCAGACAATCTTAGCAAGTAAACCAAAGACATTTAAGATAAAGGAATGAAAAAAAAAAATCAGTACAACTCCAGTATGGAAAGTAATTACAAGGTTTTAAACTATTTCTTACACAGCATTGTCTTTAAAACCATATTGGAAGGTAAGGATGCTTGGTTCTCTTAACCAGTAGTTATAAACCCAGCAGCTATAAAAATAGAGAAAAAGAAAATAATATGATTAAATTAGATGGCCAATGCACAGAAAAAAAAAGAACTTAGTTGAAATATCCAATAAAAAAAAAATACAGCGTAAGAATTCATTAAGAGTTGTTGAAAAAAACCCCAAAAATCCCCATCAACAGCCACATTCTGAACTGATTAAAGTAAAATTTATTATCAGACTTGACTGGAGTTTTGACTTATTTAAGGTTTTCAGGAAAGGATCTCATATTGAAGGATGTTCTGTTACACACAAAAATGAAATGCAAAAAAAAGGAACAAAGATTAAATCTGCTGGTTAAGGAAGATTCAGGCATCATGATTGTACAGCTAATGACAAAAGAAAAGATCCAATGCTATATGAAACATCTTTTGGAAGCAATTCCAATAGGCAAAATACTTTGAAACTTTATTGCATCAAAATTTTATTTTTCTGCCTAACAAAACTGAAATAGTATTTTGAAAGCTCTCTTGCACAGAAGACATAAAAGTCTCTGAAGCATTTTAATTCTGAAGATGCAACAAAATAAATGTTGAGAACTTTCTCCTGGCAAGTCTACCAGGCTTTGAGTTCCAACAAAAAAGTATTTCCAAATACTACAGCTAAGAAAACTTACAGTACATGTTTATTGCATGAAAACATCCATTTATTGGATCCATCTGATTCTTCCATTTGTGGCTAGTGGTTCTTATATTCTTGATATAACTTGCACCAGATCCTACTAAGTATTCCACTAATTACAAAACACACAGTAGATTGAATTAAGTAGGGAAATCTACACAATCCCAACAGAGATCCAACCTATGACAATGCATGAAATCGAAGTTTCACTTTCATTTTCTTTTAAGATAGCCTGTAGCTACATGATATAATTTGATACACTATGGAACAACAATGATGAAATTAAATACAGTAGGCAATATTAGAGTTAGAAAGTAGCACATCTTTTTACCAGTTATGATGACTTTTCATGCATTAGTATTAAAGATAAGCAATGATGTATGGAAAAGTAAAGCATAAGCAAGAGATAGAAGAAAGAGTTATGAACATAAATGAAGACTAGGAAATGGGATCATACTCAAGTGCACGTTTATATATATTAACTGTAAACAGCAGCTCTACTTAGGGAAATATTTTTCACACTTGAATGGCTTCAGCACTAAATATGAATTACTTAATATGTGAAAACAAAGCCAAAAGTAAGACTCCATTCTTCATTAATGTGAACACTGGCAATGTAAGTGAGGTTGCAAGTTAGAAAAATGTTGTTTAAAATATAGGCACATGATTCTGAATTAATAGGTCACCACAGTCTGTGACATGCAAGCACATGTTTTGATGAGTTTGCAAACTATGTCTTGCTTACTATCAACTCTCTGCATCAAGTTGTGATTTCCTTGAAAGCAGCTGAAATTGGATTTTACAGTAATTTTTTTCATCTGTGTTTCATGTTATGACATCATTTTAATACATTCAAATAGTCAAAATGTTCAGAATAAGATAGCACAAACTTGGTGCAGGAGGACATAGATCAGAGTGTGGCCAGCATTGTCAAATAGGAGATACACAGCTTAAGTATTATATAAACTACCTTTCCCCAAAAAACATTAACATAGACACCAAAATTGTAACAAGACGTATCAAAAAATAAGGCACATTTATCTTGATATGGTAATCTTGAAATAGAAAACTCATTTCAGAGAACATTGGTATCTAAATGAGTTTTATAAAAAATCTTGTATTCATGATAATTATGGACATTTCTCATCATATATGATAATGGAATAATTGCACATATCCCAGTGTGTCAAGTAACAAAATGGGAGTTTTATTAAACATTTCCATTGCAATATTATTTTGTAGGTTCATGTTTTCCTATTTACATAACTCAGGTGAATGGTAGAAGTATTAAAATCCACCATCACTTATCACAAGTACTGCAGGCTTTCATTTTACCACAATTAATAATCCCCTTTGTGTTGAATAAATTGAAATTAATTGTGGAATAAATTGAGATTATTGTCATTTATATAAATGATTGTAAATATTTGGACATTAGCTACTACACAAGAACATTTTATTCCATTTTATTTCCAAGCTGCATCAGGACTTTCTACACAATTATTTGTACATAAATTCATCAAGGATCAGCAAAGAAGGCTGTTTAAAATCCAATCCCCTCTTTATGAAAATTAAAACACCAGAAACATCATTAGTTAGCATTTAACCTGAGATTTAATCTGTTGAGAGGTTAACATCCTTAGAAATTTCTTCACTTGTTGCATTAACTTATACTGATGTTGCTGTTTTATGTAAAAAACAAAACAAAACAAACAAAAAAAACCCCAAACAAACAAAAACGTTGCTTGCAACATGGCTTTTCACTGTGTTGGTCAAAAAATTATAGAATGCATGTTTTTCTCACAGTATCCAGAAGCTGGAATAATAATAATAATAATGTGCTTCTTATTGCACTTGAAACTTAGAGGAGATATAATTGCAGATTCCTCTTCTCTATCTGAGTGTTAAAGCCAGATTTCATCTTAGCCGAATCCGGAACGTATTTATCTCCATAGAACTCATATTTATTTCACTTATATTTCTGGCATCCGGAGGTGAATGCATCAAAGATAGAGATGCAGGTGTAAGACTTTCCACTCTGAATTTGTTAAAGAGTTTATGCACCTTTATCTGGAAAAAAAAAGAAATATATTTAGAAAATACAGTCTATACCTTAAAATTGACTTCAACCTAATCTCTCACGATGATCCAAATGATACATCTCCTTACAGGTATCAGCACAGCAATTCTTACACCAAAGATTATGAATATTTTTAAGTACCACATCTCAAATGCTGCACACTAAATTAGATCTTTTTAGGCAGTGTTCACTTGCCACATTTCAAAGCAAGTAAGTTAAATCAATATATTAAAAAACTGATCAGAAATATTTGGATTAAAACTCTTCTTGTTTCTAAACAAAACAACACTTACTCTTCCGCTTAAAGAAAATCCAAAACCTATTTCAAAGTTTGATTACAAAATTTCTACAGATTCATAACCATCCAGTCCCTCTGTAACCCTCAGAACAAAATTGTATAATTTATATTTCGTGGTTTTATGTATCACATCAATTCTACAGCAATTGCAAAACACTCAGATATTTGCAACGGTGTATGTCATGTAAGTGAGCATGGGTAGACAAAGGGCTTGCTATAATAAGCAACAGTTTTCAAAGTAACAGTCACATAATTTGTGGATATGTTAATACTATTCAAAAGATACACTTCAGATGATGTAATTTGACTTTTTTTACTCCATAAATTTCTAAAACACTATTAAAAAATTATTTGAGAAATACTGATCCGTGTTATATGAAAACAACATTTACAGGAAGTTAATGAGATTAAAACTGACCTAGAAGTTTACTTGATGCTTACACGGTAATTCCCACACACCAGCAGATCCGTATCTTTATCAAATGGAAAGCAGCTTTCAAGATAAACTTAACTGTTATCCTGAAAGTGTAACTCTTGAGAAATAACTACCTAGACCTCGCCTATTACTTGATTTAAATATCAGTGTTTCCGCAATACTTGTAAGGTAAGCTTCCCATAAAATATCAGTATACCTTTCCCTGAGTAGTGGAACAGAGAAGACCCGTGTCTCTGTTTGAAAATCTGCAGTCAAATCCCTTTCTGTGAAGAATCAGAGCAGCTTCATCAGACGGCTCAATATCTACCTACAAATAAACAAAATAAAAACTTACTCAGAAAGTAGCAGAGCTAGAAAGACATTTTAGGACCTCATAAAATTATCATTATCTTACAGCGATAGAGCCACTTCGCCTCAAATAATTGGCCTAGATTGAACAGTCATGTTTCTTTTAATGCTTATAAGATTAAACATAGAAAGAACTAAACAGCAGAGAGAGTTTAGATATATAAAGTACTAAACAATATAAATGTAAGTTGTTAACCAAAGAGTTCAAAGTTCAATAGATGCACATGTACAAACTCAGAATTTAAGTGTAGCTATCATAGTTGTATTAATTGGTTTTCCAGAAAAAATTATATGGCAAAACCAAAACCAAATGAGAAATCATATGCTAATTACAATAGCCTGTTTTAAATACTCATTTTGACCATGTTCCGTCAAGCTTTCATTTTGCAAAGCTGCCCTCTTAAACCTAAGTCAGCTTAAGGTGTACATGAAACCATACACTAAAATACAAATATTAAATAAATTTTATGTTTATAGATAAGACATACCATGCTCTTCAGCCTCAACAGGCATCAAAGACTAGCCCAAGAGTAACCAACAATCCCAACTTCCTCGTTTGGACCAAATCACTAAAATCACTTTGGACAAATGGTCACAAGAATAGCATATAAATGCCTCAAATCAGAATCTTGTTTTGATATGTACTTCAGAAGAAAAAGTCATATCCTAGAACCGGCTGGGAAACTTCAATTTATACAAAAACTTCATTTTTTTTCTTTTACACTAAGATGTAAAGAACCATGAAATCATACAGCAAGAGTAACAGAAAAGAAATTCTTCTTCACACTATAGATGAACGTGCACATAAGCTATCTTCACACCACACAACTGGCACATGAGTGGTACATGACAATACAATCATAGAATCATTAAGGTTTGAAAAGACCTCTAAGATCATGGAGTCCAACCGTCGACCCAACACCACCATGCCCACTAAACCATGGCCCTAAGTGCCTCATCTACAGGTCTTTTAAATACCTCCCGGGATGGGGACTCAACCACTTCCCTGGGCAGCCTGTTCCAATGTTTAACCACTCTTTCAGTAAAGAAATTTTTCCTCATGTCCAATCTAAACCTCCCCTGGTGCAACTTGAGGCCATTTCCTCTCGTCCTATCGCTAGTTACTTGGGAGAAGAGACCGATGCTGCAAGCTGTTTGCTGTATCACTACATTAACCTTAGTCATTTATTTTCTATGATGCATTACTTTATTTATTACTTTTTTGTTTTTGTTTTACATTCTTCAGCTGTTCATCTTATTACATATATAATAAAGGCATAAAAAAGATGGTTCTACCCGCAGCCATGCCAGCACTTCGGTCTATTCTTCTCTAATTTATTTCTGTTTTTTTCCTGGTGCTTTTTCCCAAAAGTCTCTGCCATGAGTTAGTTTCATTTCTGGTACTTCAGTAAGTATCTATTGCCTTGGAGAAACCTACGCCAACAAGCATTAGGCATTTTGTGATGCTTCAGCTCTTGAAGCATAACAAACGAGAGAGATCTTACTCTAACAGCCTTCAGATCCAAACCAATTGTATTCTAATAAAGGAGATCTTGGAACAGCTTGGCAGTATGACAAATTCATAGTATTAAGTAGTCATTCACATAATAAAAATGGTAAACTGATAAACTTAATATTAGTGTTTTCTAAGTAAGTTCCTCATTTAAAATAGTAAAAATTTACTCAACAGTATTTGCAATTGAAATGAGATACTTTGCAGTAAAACATTGACTAGTAAAAACTGCGCATAGTTTACAAATCATGAATAAAACTCAGTTTGAGAAGATTTTCATGAACAATGTTAGCTTATAACCACCTAAAATCAGGTTTTTAATTAATGAATGGTGTCTACAGTCAGCATATTCAAACAAGTTTGCAGTACTTATTGCATTTCAATACTTTCAACATTGATGGTTGAAAAAGTTCTTATCCTGTTATTGGAACAGTAGTACCACTTTCTACGTTAAGTAAGGTAATAATGATGATGATGTGACAAAATTATTTTCCATCTCCAACTAAGAAATACCTGACATGGTTTTCACTGTCACTGTTGTGACAGTGTTGCACTTAAAAGTAGACATTTTTATGCACACAAAATAATACCGTCTGCCTAAACATCAGATTAGTGAAATATTAAAATTCATACTGCAAAAGCCTGACTTCCTATGGGGAAAGTTGATGTTAAAAATGACAAGCCAGTAATGGGTATCAACACTTTCTCTATTACAGTGGAATTATCTGCATAACAAATGCATTTATGCATCTCAAATGATGGCATGAATATTTCATCTCTCAAGTTTTCAAAATTAAATATTATCTTAATTAAGATTCAAAAGATTTAAAACAGAAAGGTAATAAACAATTAATGACACCTTCAAGAAAAAAGTTTTGGTAAGGATAAACATCTATGATATAGTAGTCAGCCTTTTAGAATTCCCAGGACTTTATCATGCACATAGCATCCATGCGTAATAAATTAAACTGTTCTAACCTATTATCAAAGCAGGTGTAAGACTGAGCAAGTTGCCACAGCCTCCACATCTACTTTAACTTACCTCTTCTTATATCATCTCTAGGTAAATTAGATTAAGCGTATGCAAGCCTAAGGAATATCTGAGCAAGGATGAACCTAGTTTACATCAAATACACCTAAACATGACCACGTTAACTGCATGAAAATCTGTAACAAATTTCTCAATTTTCAAGAAACAACATCCTTATTCTTTTAAAACTTCACACCATTGTTATGTGACAAAAATTCCCTAACTACTGTACTATCAAATCTCTGACTGCCTTTCTTGGAAGAGCTGCCAAAGTTTGATTTGATTTTGATCTCTGAGAAATAAAATGCGGTTCTTGCATCAGGCTTCTAGATGGAAAAAAATTTTGCTATGCTTTCTCATAAGCAGTATCCCAGGGCAATGCTGCTAAAATTTTTATGAGAAAGAAAAAACATTTAAACACTTTTTTGTCTGATTACTGTAAGCTAACAGACATGTATTGAAAAGTTCAAGCAACATGACAAAAATATGTATTTATATTTAGTATAAAGGGACAAATGTACTCCGTTTCTAAATCTTGAGGCCCAGTCAGGAGGTAAAATCTGTGTCAAAGAACTTAAAAACTGCAGCTTTATTAAAAATTTCTTTAGATTTCATATTTCTACGGCATTGGACTCTTCCAAGACAGGATCACATATCTTACAACAATAGCAGTATTATTCCCACTGAGAGGAGCAGAGTTTAAAGGGAAACTAGGAATGCCCTTATGTTTTTTCTCATTTATGCTTTAATACATTTTCATGCATTCTGATTTCTACCTTAAATTTTAATAATACTTTATTTTGATTTGGTACCCTTTTATGTGAAATTGTAATGATATAATTCCTTGAAAATCAACTTCAACAGCTAAAGCAATGGAGAAGTAGTCTACATTTCTGGAAAAAATTGCATTGCGTCAATTAGCCAGAATTATGATGCTTGTCGTTCAAATTCTTGGAAGATGGAGAAAGGAAGCAGAAAGTGAGGGGAGATTTAAAAAGGCCATTTTGGCATGCAAGAAATTCTTTGCAAGGCATAGCACCATTTCTGCTGTGGGGAAGAACTCTTCTGTATCTATAACGATAGTGCTCCTATCCTGTAACTACTGATAACTTTCACTTTGAAGTGCACAAATTAATGCTGCAAGCTCAAGAGCTGTCAATCAAGTAGTCATTGAAATATGATAAATATGAAATATGAAACAAATCCCAGTTGTGGACAGGGAATAAATCATAGCCTGAAACAAACATATACTGACTGGGATAGTGGGGCCAATATAGGCCAGATAAAATTGTAGAATTCACCTACAAGTAACATTGAACTTAAAACAGCAGACGCAGAGCCAGCCTTCCATTTCACAGGTTTCATGGCCATACAATACAAACAAGTTTAGGTCTCGAAAAGGGAGAGGGGGCACGTTCATGAAGGTCTGCCCCTGAACTTGACCTGCTGAAGCAAATAGGTGGTGCTGAGCTGGCTGAGGTAAATGAAAAGATTTTACAGTGAAGTGTGGAACATACACTTCACATGAAGATTTAATTCAATACGAAGCTTTCTCCTAACTCTTCAAAGGCGTAAGACCTGCAGAATCAAGAGTTATTCCACTTTGAAATTCAAAATAAGAAACAGTCACAGCTGAAGGAGTGTACATGAGATTGAACTACTAACAGAGAAAGTTTGAGATTTTTAAGTTTTAAAATAAGGATTAAGACTGAAAATTAAGAACTATGATAAAACAGTAGGTAATGGCAAGTTTTGCAGATATTCTGAATATAATCTGAGGTTATTATAGATGAGCAGTTCTACCTCAGCCACCACGGAGACTCTAAGGGAGAAGGGACAACTGTAGTTTGTAAGTATCTGAGCATGGCAGAATTAAAAAGGGATTTCATCTATGGTAACAGCACTGGTGAGTGATACTGCAATACAGCATAAAGTTAATATACCCACATTTTAAAAGGTGTTGAAAAACTGAAAATAATTTATACAAGAGCTGGCGGAAAAAGGATGCACAAACAGCTCTACTTCTATACTTTATCAAACAGAAAATTGAGATATGGTGGTTTGGGGTTTTTTGGTGTGTGGTGGGTTGTTTTTTTTTTTAAACCTACCAAAGAATAGTTTCACAGGAACCAAGGATTGTAAGCTGACATTAGAATAATTAAAATAGGTCTTGTATTTAAGCTTAAAAATATTTTAACGATTTATTCTATGCATGTTAAGATGTGGTAGATTTTCTTTAAGTCTTCCAAACAGAATCAGATGGGTTTAAAACTATATGTTGTATTAAAAACACAAATTATTGTACTCAGAACAAAGTCTAATGACCTTAAATTTAATTCTTCTTAATACAAAGAGGCCAAAGTATATGAACCCTTCTGTTCTTAAACTTTGGGAACGCACTGAAATGTGCCCCCTTCAGAGACAGAATAATGCACTATGCATATTATTATCTTGTAAAAAAACCAATTCCTGTATTTCATGTTACTCAAACTGACACAAGTGTCTAGTTCTTGCAGAATTAACAAAAACTAGTCATCACTCTGCAGTTTATCATATCATATAAAAAAAAAAAAAATCACAAATTCCTTTCCTCGAATAAAGTATTTGATTAGACTATATTAATAAGCTATATCACGTTTGCTCATAAAAATAGTGATTTGACCTTACCTTTGATTGGATTGTCCTCAGATTGACTATATGCATGTCACAAGGCATTGATGACATGAGTGGAGAAAAAGTATTTAGCATCTCTGGGACACCTGAATCTGCGTATGTTGTCATTGGAATTACAGGATGATTTAAGAAAGAAGAAGTCATATGGCTAAGAAGTGAGGGAAAACTGACTGATGCCTTCTCTTCATTCTGCAAAATACAAGAGAAAATATTTGTATAATCAAGTTAATACACCATCACGTCTAAATTTTGAAACCCACTTATATGATTCCATTAATTTAATAGAAAATTTTAATTTATAGACTGTCCATTTAAATACTTTTGGAAACTTCTGATCATCCACTAATTGTCTTTTCTAGTACTAGGTATACTTCCTGTTTTTACAAATCATTAGTACATCTTTCAAAATGATGATTAGATGATACCACATTTCACACCATTCCTCAGTTTTCTGTGTTAGCCTTTGATGTGTAAACAATGTAGTTTAGAGAAAGAAACTAGCTACTACTTTAGCAAGTTACTCCTATTTATTCAGTATCTACTTGAATACTGACAGCCAGCTAGTCTTTTGCAGGCTTCCTTTTCTGCATAAATTTCTTATCTACGTTCCTCAGATTCACCTAACTTGTATCCTACATCCCTCTTTTAAATCTAACTTCTTAAAACTGTTTTCTGGAAGAAATTGCAATTAGCATCTTGGTCTTGGTCCGCAATGCAAAAGATTTCTTTCAGCAGTTTTGTTTCAACGTCCATGCCAGCAGGAACTGAAGGGACTCTCTCCCAAGATTTTACAAGTTTTGTACTTCCCAAGTTTTGTACTTCCCAAGTTTGTTAAGTGCAGTGCTTTTACATGGCTGCAGAAGCTGTGTTACAAACCCGAGATGACCAAGTCCTACATACTCACAACAGCTAGTTAAAGCACCATAGAAGCCAGAAAAGAAAACAAAACTTTAAAAAGGCAATTTCTGTTTTAGAATGTCAGTGAAGATGTTAGAAATGGGTGAAAACTTATTTTGCTCTTATTTTTCCTTGCATATTTTACAGATACATTCATGCTTGTTTACAGTTAAACAGGTGATTTTTAGTGAAAACTTTCTGCAAAGTTTACTGAAAACATAGCATCTTAAGCATTGATATCTTAAATTTGCATTTTATGACAGGCTGAAAACATGGAAATAAAAAATAAATGGGAGATACTTAAAGCAAAGGGGAGGATTATTTATCAGATAATTATGGACAACCATAACAGTAATTCCTGTTTTGGGGTGCATATGCATGTATGCATATTGATTTATACTTCTGCAGTAGCATTAAATACAACTGACAGTGTAGCAATTGAAAATATGCCAGAGCTGACTTGATGCAAGATGATAATTTCTGTTTTATTCTTGGTGCTTTTCTTAGTAATGACTAACACTTTGCCTCTTTGGTAGCTACTAAGCATTGAGGCTAGCATTTTTATAGATCTATTATGACCCCCAAATTGCTTTCAAAAAATGGTAATAGTTGATAGTTGTAGAGGATTGCTCCTCCATGTGCCTCACTACATTTATTTATGTTGAATTCCATCTGCCACTTTACTGCACGCTTAATCAGTCTTGAGTCCTCCAATTCCTCAGTTAGCCTTGATTTTTTTTTTTTATTACCTTGAATAGTTCAGCATCACTGGCAAACTTCCTTGTCACAATTTTCTTCTTTTCCAATTAAAGTATGAGCAAGCTTGCTCTAAGTACAGCTAAAGCTAAAAGTCTTCAGTTCAAGTGACTGTATGCACACTCTATCCACAGGGAAAATGTGCATATACTTGTTCTTTCAAAGAAGAACTCACTGTTTCACCCCAAAAGGAACATGGTTTACTCTGTCGTCACAGATGTGCTAAAGTCAGTCAAAACAGTTTATCATTGGTTTTCTTACTATTATTCAATCATTTTTTTTCTGTAAAATAAGTTGATTGCTTGCATCTGAGAACTTAGAAAAGGTGTCCTAGAATTTCTTACAAATTACACCTGAATCAAATAATTTATTCATCCTATTATAATATTTAAAAAAAAAGATGTATCAAAAGCCCTTGCAACTGGTTCCTCATTCTAGTCATGTTACCTGAGAACAAGCAGAAGACAAAACTACTGTCCAGCAACAACAGTCATTTGAGATCCGTTTTTCATATGCACTTTTAAACACTGGGCATTCATACTCAAAGCATTTGAGATCAGAGATTTTTCCTAAAGAGAATTCACATTCATCCATTTCCTCCTCTACTTTCAACCATTGCCTAACATACACTACAAACATTTCAAAGAAAGAAGTGCATGCCCCATATCCAACACAGCTCCCCTCAACTCCAGATTTCTCAGATTTCAGGGACTCCAAGGAGTTGCAAAGAGGAAGAAGGGTGAGCCTTCACAGAAACAACTTTTTTTTTTAAAATGTTTTATCTACATGCAAATTCTCACTGCAAGACATCCCAAATACTCACCTGGAGAAGTGCCACAGTTTGTTATGGGAAGAGTGACTGAAAAATCATTCTAAGTGCAACTTTATGCCTGAAAAGACAGTGCTTGCTGAAAACAAACAGAACTCATTTAGATGTCCTCATAATTTCAGAAATAGATGTTCCTTGGAAAACACCACCAAGGTAATTTGAGATGAAGAGAAATGAGATCTTTCTGAAAGTTTCTGTTCCATGTACAGAAAAATACTGTGTACATAAACACAAGCATGACATCCATGGGTCAAAACCTTTCCCAAATCCCAGAAATCAGAAGTACAGGAAAAAATGGGAGGCAAGTTTGTATACTGGCTGACATGAAAGTAAAAAATCGCTCATGGTAAAAATATCAGATGAATCCTCAGCCTTGTCTAGTAAAAGATAGCAGGTCAATCTTCTACGACTGAATCCTTCAAAGCCTTTTCTAAGGCTAACAGAAGTAATGTGAATAAAAAAGGTGGTTTTAACACAAAGCTACAGTAACGTATATTGCAGTTGAGAAACCAGGAAAGACAGAAGGAAAGACTCTGGAAACTTTGAAGACAAATAATGTGGGTGGGAGGGAATCATTCTCTGTTAATGGGCAATGGAACAAAATTCTCAGATAACCCACACCAGAGCCATAAAGAGTGGCTCCTCAATTCCTAGATTCTGGAAATAACTGATGATTGCAGAAAAACACAGTCTTGAAGGATTCTGGCAAATGCTAGAACCAGAGCTGATTCAACCTGGCTCATTTTTGCTCCTGCTGTGTTTAGATGTTTTATCACAGCCATAAGCGTTATACTTAAGAATTATCCAAAATTCAAACTTTGAAAAGCTGCACTAAGACTTAGGTGGAGATTTTATCTTGAATCTTATATTCCCACATCTGGAATGACAGTCAGTTTTGGATGACTGCACCAACAGAAGAAGTGCAGTCATTGAGTGAATCTATGTAATAGCAATGTGAATGGAGAGTACAACAGGTGTCAAAACCCGCCAGGAGACCAAGGGAAAAAGGGTTTTACAAACACTGTGAAGACAATGTTATCACAGAAGATCCAGAAGGGACACTTCAAATCCCACTCCCCCCAGTACATCACAGTCACGAAACGATTGGAGTACATCTTTCCCCTCTCAATCTAGTGATCCAAAATTTAAACATGACTCTGGGGCAAGAGAGAGATGGAAAGGGTTTGCATGTACAAACAACATATTTGGAAGAATAGTTACTCTATAGGCACATTCACTGTGTGGGCGGCTTTCAGCAGCACCCTGCTGATGCTAAGTCAGAAGACATAGTCCCACAGTCTCCATCTAATTAAAGTACTGCTCTCTCAAAAGCGGCATTATTTCGTCAACTTCAGTGACAGTGTTTAGCACTCAAAGTGTGAATGGTGCTCCACTGGCAGCCTTACAAACATTACATACTAGCAAGATTCTGATGAATGCCACTGATATAGCTGGTGCTGGCTTAATGAGCTCAAACCAAAGCAAATACGGCCTTTTTTAACTACCTTACAGCATATTCATATACAGTTATCCAACTGGAAACCGTCTGTGTTGCAATACAACTCCTTGAATGACTGTGCAATAGATGTAAACAAATCCTCATATAGGATCTTTCCTTGTCATCAAAAGTAAGGTGAATAATTCTAAACTTTTAGTTTTGAGGAAAAACAAACAAACAAACCACACTTCAGTATAACTTTAGATTATAATTTGCAACAAATTCTAGGAATGGCCTCATCTATAAAAAGTGCCCTTATATCAGAAATGAGCTATTTTATCAATAAATGGAGGATGGAACAGATTAAGAAAAGACTCAAAGGGTTTCCTGGTAAGAGTTTAAATTGAGGAATTGAGGTCCTTAATTAGAGGGGAAAAACACTAATTAGACTCTTCAGAAATCATTTAGTAATTGAATGGAAGAGAGAAATGGAAAATACTGTAGAGAAGAAAGTAAAGCTGAAACAGTTGATAATTGGACTTCAATTGAGCTAACAGAGAAACAATTAACTTTTCAACACAGACAAGTAGTCTAAAATTTCCCATACGAAAGTAAGGAAAGGAAACTGAGGCAGACAGAATATCAAATGACAAATCTTGACTACTTACTCCTCCTCTAGATTGTTCTCTGCTATGAACAGCCCTACTCAGGAAAGAAATTTAATTATAACTCCAAAACCCCACAAGCATCCAAACTATCTCATCAAACATGCTGAAATGTGGATGCTGACTTTGGATGTCAGTGCATTCAAATAAAATCTGGAAACAGAATTCTGGGCCTGCTAAGTCAAGGGATGCAGATCAAAATAGTCTGATACCAAACCACCTGGACTATTCTTGGAAGGAAAAAGTCTCTCACTCTCTCTCGTGTTGTGCGAGGAAACAATTTTTATCCACTTTCTCTGTCACAGGTTCAGAAAACCAACTGGCAGCACTCTTCAAAGAAGAATGTTTCTGGACTGGAAAATCTAATCTGTGGAGTAAAAAGACTCTTCAGAGCATCTCTAGTCCAAAACATAGGGAGACAATATTATTAAATATCTGTCAATCATAATCTAGCAACTGACAGCAACCGAGATGGTCAGCCAAAGAATCTAAAGCTTCCCAAAGACAAACATGGAAAGAAAAATTTGTTTCTTTCTGTACAATCCAAAGATTGACAATCCATCTGCATGTTTGATGAGATTCTGCTTCTACATGAGAAACTGGT